TTAGATTAGATTAGATTAGAATAGATTAGCTAGATCGACAGATAGATAGATAGATAGATAGGTAGATAGATAGTTAGATAGATAGACAGATAGATAGATAGACAGATAGATAGATAGAAAGATAGACAGATAGAAAGATAGATAGATAGATGGATAGACAGATATATATATATATATATCTGAGCATATATATATATATATATGTTGTGTACACAAACATTCGCCTGGTTTCTGCACCGAATGTTATATGTGTGTAATTATTGTTCACACTATATGTACATATGCACATATAGGAATAAATACACCTCTATATATATACACATATAATACATATACGCATGCATATATGTATATAAATAAATATAGAAGAAGACAGATACATACAAGTGTATGGTCTCCTAATGCTCTGCTGTGGAGAATCCCTCGTCTGCAGCATTCCGAGATCTTCGCCAAAGGCAGTCATGCAAAGAACGTCGCCGACGTACAGAGGCAGGAGCTCCTCGGGCGAGGGATCAAGCTTGCAGAGAGCTCTTGGGGTTCCAAAAAGGGCTTCATGGTTGGTGTTGCATAGGGTTTAGGGCCTAGGGTTTAGGGTTTAGGATTTAGGGTTCATAGTTCCTTCTGGGCTTCGTGCGAGCTTCATACGGTTATATATGGACCTTGAAAAAGTTCTACAGGATTTGATAGAGGGCCTTGATAATCCCAACGGGTTTTGGTGTATGTTATAGTCTGTATCTTCTATACATGAAGTATCAGGGGACACCATCCTAAACCCTAAACCCTAAACCCTAAACCCTAAACCCTAATTTCCAGACCTCCATAGAGTGCCGGGAGCTCAGGGGATTGGAGATGGCTGTGTCACATACGGTTTAGGGTTTAGGTTTAGGGTTTAGGATTTAGGGTTTAGGGTTTAGGGTTTAGGGTTTAGGGTTCACGGTTTAGGGCTTAGGGTGTAGGGTTTACGTTCAGGGTTTGTGTTGCCTCAACTACTTTAAGGTTCATGGGTAGTTATAAGTGGGACTATAAGTAGGGTAACTATACTTATACCCATGTTAGGCAACTTAGAACCTCATTTACAACTAGCCATAAACCCTAAACCCTAAACCCTAAACCACCCATACAGAGAACTTAGAAGCCCATGTATAACTACCTATAAACCTCCAAGTAGAAAGGAAGGTTGCGGCTCCGACGTCGCTGGCAGGTGAGCAAAGCGACGAGACAAAAAGGCTTGGTGCTTAGGGCTTGGGGTGGAGGGCTTAGGGTTTAAGGGTTTAGGGTTTAGGGTTTAGGGCTTAGGGTTTGGGGTTTAGGGGTAGGTTGGGGAATCTTCTACATCGCGTTGACAAGCCAATCCCTAAACCGCAGGCCCTCAAGCCCCAACTAAAGCCCTAAATCTCTAGAAAGATACAGCTACCCAGACTCCAAAACCCATAACCTCAGCAACAGAACCCACGGAATGCGGCGCTGTGCATCGCCACGACGCGGTGACGGACCTCAAGATTGGTCACCCGGCTCCCAAGCTGTCCAGGCCCTCAAGATGCTCGAAGAGTGGCCGCATCGATGCAAAGACGGGGAGTACATAGAGGTTCAGGGGTAATTACAAATGCGGTTATAAGTAGGGTAACTATAAGTATAACCCATATTAGGGGACTTATATCCCTACTTATAACTACCCATGAACCTCCAAGTAGGCTGAACTAGAAGGGCGCACGCTGTATGAGCGAAACTCTTCGGTCTCAGAGAGCACAGGCAGAGAAGAGGAGTATGGACCAGTTTGCCTTTGGGCCAGCGTCCGCAGCGAGGCTACCGCGGTCCACTTCGGACACATCGGTCACGGAAGCGCCTCGATGGCCTCCGACTCAGAAGCTAACAGAGCCCATAGGGTCCATGTCTCGGCGATGCCACGACGCCGAGGAAAGGATGGCGCGATGGCTTCGACACATTTCCAGCAGGCCGCCATCTGCTATTTGTGGAGGGACTCAACAGCTGATTAAGGTATACTTGGAGGTTCAGGGGTAGTTATAAATGGGGTTATAAGTAGGGTAACTATAATTATGACCCATATTAGGGGACGTATATCCCTACTTATAACTACCCATGAACCTCCAAGTACTCCTCAACTACATTTCCTTAATTTCTATCGCCTCGTTCTCGAACCGCCAGACCCTGATTCACTTTTGAAACCTTGCCCCAAAACCTAAACCCTAAACCCCGTTTAGGGTTTAAGGGTCCTAAAACCTAAACCCTAAATCCTGTGAACCATGCTTCGGAGAAGTTGGTCTCAACCTCTGCTCGACAGTCGGCATCCAACACGGACATGAACTTCTCGGCAATTTCGGTGATGGCCGGTGTGTAGCTCTCCTCGTTAGGGTTTGGCGTTTAGGGTTGAGGCCCTATAAGGGTTCTTTCAGAATTTGACAAGGGGTCTGCTGCATAGAGTTCCTTCCAAGTCGATTGCAGAACCTCTGGCTAAACCCTAAACCCTAAACCCATGCTCCGAAGACTCCTTGAATCTGTCGGGCTCACCCGGAACAGGCTACTTGGAGGTTCATGGGTAGTTTCAAATGGTGCTATAAGTCCCCTAGTATGGGTTACTATAGCTACCCTACTTAAATCTCCACTTTTCAGAACCTCCAAGTGGGTAGTTCTCTGAATTAGGGTCCCCTTTGGGATCCGTTTTATAAGGGTGCCGTACTATAGTGGGGACCCCACAAGGGACCCTAATTTAGAGAACTACCCAAGTAGAGTATGAAACCTGCGGGGTTGAGGCTCAGGTTTTTTCAGCCTTGGAGTTCAGGTGTACTAAAGGATTCCATCTGGGCTTTGTCGAGAGGGTGACTCAAAAGGCTTGGGCTTAGGGTTTAGGGTTTAGGGTTTAGGGTCTAAAAGGCTTGCGTTAGGTTCTTCGTTCTGGGCTGTAGGTTCTCGAGCTTAAACTGCTTGCAAATTTCTAATACCCAACCCTAAACAACCCTAAACCCAAAGTTCATTCCGAAGCCCAGGTGCCACATTCTTGGCGTTGAAGGCCGGCGCAATGATTCCTTCAGAGCCGGGTTCAGTGCTGTAGGATTGCTTAGGTAGGGTTATCTGTCTGGCTAGGGTAGGTACTTGGAGGTTCATGGGCAGTTATAAATGGGGTTATAAGTAGGGTAACTATATTTATAACCCATATTAGGGGACTTATAGCCATACTTATAACTACCCATGAACCTCCAAGTACTTGTGGGACACACCTGTAAGTCTACGGAGGAACCTACCTACTACATCCCATAAGTCTCTGTATAAAGCCCTTCATGGAATTGTGCCAGCGTAGATCTCCAAACCACGACATACATCACGACCATGAAGCCCACGACCACAAGGACGACCGGACCACGACGACGAGGAGACCACAGGAGACCACCGACATACTTTCCCCCAAATACCTGCCGATCTTTCCTCCAAATACAAGCGGATGTCGCCGGGAAAAAGCCGTAGGTAAGACTTCAGGAGTTCAACTAAACCCTAAACGGCCCTAAACCCTAAACCGTATGACTTTCGGTTCAACTAAACCCTAAGCCCTAAACCGTAAGATGTTCACGATTTCAACTAAGCCCTAAACCCTAAACCGTAGGATTTTCAGGAGTTCAAAGAAACCCCTAAAGCCCAAACCCGAAGATGTTCAGAAGTTCGAGGCTGCGAAATCATCCATCGGAGACAGACCTCCACTTGGAGGTTCATGGGTCGTTATAAATGGGGTTGTATGAGTAGGGTCACTATAATTATAACCCTTATTAGGGGACTTAAAACCATACGTAAAACTACCCATGAACCTCCAAGTAAATCCCTAAACCCTAAACCCCTAAACCCCTAAACCCTAAATCCTATAAAACTTAAACCCCTAAACCCTAAGCCCCCATAACCCCTAACCCTACTTATAAGTACCCACGAACCTCCAAGTAGAGCTCAAGGATGAAGAACCCGGGCCAGGGTTCGGAACTTGAGGGTGTACGGTTTAGGGCTTAGGGGTTTGAGGGTTTAGGGTTTAGGGTTTAGGGTTTCGGGTTTGGGACTGAAGCTCTAGGGTTTAGGGTTTAGGGTTTAGGCTTTGGGGCTGAAGCTTTAGAGTTTAGGGTTTAGGGTTTAGGGTCTACCTTAAGAACCCCAAACCTACATTTTTTGTAGGGCCCCTATAAATCCCATATTAGGGTTTATAATAAGAACTCTACAAAAAAAGTGGGTTTTGGGTGATCAAGGCAGGCTACCAGGCTTCTGGGCTAGGGGGCCTTGCTGGCTTTTTGAAGTCTTGCCGGGCATTCGGGGCCTAGGTTTGCGGCTGAGCGTCTCCGATTTATGGCTTAGGTTTAGGGTCTTAGGGGTTTAGGGTTTAGGGTTTAGGGTTTAGGCTTTAGGGTTATGGTTTCCCGCGCAGGCTCGTGGGCGAAAAACCAGCCCGAGGATAGCAGGCGATAACTGTTTCCAACTCCAAGTCATTCTGCTGGCGTATACAAGTGTGTCTAACATAACGGGCCGCTGTCTGGGATGTCCTTTTGTTCAGGCATTCTGCTGCTCAGGGTTTTTAAAGAAGCCACTTACTGTTGAAACAAGGCTGCGAACAACAGTTTCGTTTAGCTTTGCGGGGCTAGCTGAACCGAATGCCTGTAGGTCCCTGCAAGGGGTTTACGACGATGTCGGCAACCCTGAAACCCTAAACCCTACACGCTAAAACCCTAAAACCCTAAACTGTGGCATTTCAACCTAAAACATCCCTGAACCGTAGCAAGCATCGCCGTTCGCGCTTCCAGTCGTCCCCCTCGGAGAACATGATGCCATGAAACAAGCCCTCGGTGAGGTCCGTGATGCTGCCTGGCTACGGTTTAGGGTTTAGGGT